TCCTCGCCAGAGTACGCAGGCATCTACCGCTGGGAGGCTCCGTTCCTCGCAACACCCGCGGGCATCTATCGACAGCAGCCCCCACCCCTCATCGACAGCTACTGGTGTCGTCATCGCTTGCAGCTCTCGCAAGATGCACGCGTCTTTGCTGTGGGCAGGCCTCGCTCGTCGCAGCTGCGCACTCCTGCGTTGGCCGGGCGGCGGGTGCAGAGCGCGCGTGCCTGCGTCGTTGGCGGGCTCCGCTCCTCGCCGAAGACACGTGGGCGCTCATCACCGCGAGGATCCATCCCGCGTCCAACGCGTAATCAGGTTCGTACCGTTGCCAGGCGGGGGTCGAGAGCCCTTGCATTTTGCGGCGTTGCCTCAGAAAGCCCACCTTCTCGCGAAACCGAAACATGCGTATACAACATTTACACAGATGTTTGAATACATATATATATATATATGTGTGTAAAACGATATGTGCGTAGTCATGCCGTCTTGGAATGGGTGCGCCTCTGTTGCTTGTGTGTTTCTCCTGATGATGCCCATCCTCTTCCTGTCTCTCGTCCTCGTCCTTCTCCTCTCCCATCCCTCCGTCGCCTCTCCCATCCTCCACGACCCCGTCGTCCTCGTCCCCCAGGGTCTTGTTCTCGTCCTCCTGTTCTGCTGCTGCTCCTGCTCCTCCTCCACCCCCTCATCCCGCTCCTCCTCCTCCTCCCCCTCCTCCTCCTCCTCCCTCCTCCTCCTCCTCCTCCTCCTCCTCCTCCTCTCCTCCTCCTCCTCCTCCTCCCCTCGCCTCCTCCTCTCTCGCCTGCTCCTCCCTCGCCTCCTCCTCCTTTCTCGCCTGCTCCTCCCTCGCCTCCTCCTCCCTCGCCTCCTCCCCCTCCTCCCCCTCCTCCTCCTCCTCCTCCTCCCCCTCCTCCTCCCCCTCCTCCTCCTCCTCGGAGGGAGGATCCCAGGAGGGTTGGGGGTTGCGGGTGATCAAGTGCGGCCGTTGTCTCGATAAATCTTGTCCGGTGTTTTTTTACCGTGCGGGGGATTCTGGGGCGGCCATTTCGGGCCGCGCGGAAAGGAAGGGGAAGACGAGGAGGGGAAAGGCGAAGGAGGAGGGAGCGGCGAGGAGGGGAGAGGCGAAGGAGGAGGGGAGGGGTCGCGAGGAAGGAAGTACTGAGGCAGAGAAAGTGAGGGAGTAAGGGACAGGAGGAGGTGGAAAAGGAGGGACGGAGCTCCCCTCCCCCCTTCCTCCTGTCTCGCCTGCTGGGTGGGGGGAGAAAAACCAAAAAACATACGCCAAGAGGGGAGGGAATTGTTTCTGTCCCCCCCCCGAAGAGATAGGAGGAGGAAAAGGGACGGAGATCCCGCCCCCCCCTTCCCCCCTCGTGGATGGCAGTGACGGCGGTGATACACACTCCTCCTGTGGCGCCTGTTGCGTGTGTGTGTGTGCGTGTGTGCGTGTGTGCGTGTGTGCGCGTGTGCGCGTGTGCGTGTGTGCGTGTGTGCGTGTGTGCGCGTATGCGCGTGTGCGTGTGTGCGTGTGTGCGTGTGTGCGTGTGTGCGTGTGTGCGTGTGTGCGTGTGTGCGTGTGTGCGTGTGTGCGTGTGTGTGCGTGTGTGTGCGTGTGTGTGCGTGTGTGTGTGTGTGTGCGTGTGTGCGCGTGTGTGTGTGTGTGTGCGTGTGTGCGCGTGTGCGCGTGTGCGCGTGTGCGTGTGTGCGTGTGTGTGCGTGTGTGTGCGTGTGTGTGCGTGTGTGTGTTGTTTTGCAAGAAAAAAGAAGCCAAGATGGGGGGGGGGTGATCCCCCCCCTTCTCCGAGGTCGCTGCTACTGGTTTCGAGGGCCAGCCCCGCCACCCCCGCTTCCGATGTCCTATGGCGCCCCTTGGGCCTCCTGGTCCTCCTCCCCCCTTTGCATGTCCCTTGCGGTTTTTGTTGATTCGTCGACGGCGGCGCGTTTGCGGTGGACCTCGCGGCATCTGTTTCAGACTGGTGGCTCCTGTTGAAGAGCCCCGTGGCGATGCCTTGCATATTTTGGGGATGATCCGGTGCGAATGAGACTTTCCAGAGCTGATGGGCGAGGCATTGATTGGCAGTGGTTAATAATGCTTGGAACTGCTTGCCATCGTGCGGTCCTGCTTGGCATTTGTTGGTTGTGTGTTGACGTTGCTTTGTTTTGTTTGACATTGAATGGTCGTGCTCGGTTTTGCTTCGCATTGGTTACTCGTGCTTGGCATTGATCAGCATTGCGCGGTTGTAGGTGGCATTGAATGGTCGACCTTATCATTACTTGGCACTGCTTGGTAGCGCGCGGCACTGAGCAGTCACGCTTGACATTGCGTGGCATTGGTTGGTCACGCTTGGCATCGCTTGGTCGCGCGTGGCATTGAATGATCGGGCTTGGCATTGTTTGGCCATGTCCGGTGGTGCCTGGCAATGTGTGCTCGTGCTCTTGCCATTGCCTGGCATTGTCGGAAATGTTTGGCATTAGATGGTCGTGATCGGCATCGGTTGGTCGTGACTGGCATTCGTTTGATGTAATGGGTATTGGTTGATCGTGCTTGGCATTGCTTTGCATTGGTTGGTGGTGTTCGGTGGTGTTTGGCAAAGAGTGGTCCTGTTCTTGCAATTGCATCGCATCCTTCGGTGATGCTTGGCGTTGAATAAGAGTAGTGAATAATTCGCAAGGGGCCCTGGTTGAATAGCCAGCATTGAGGAATCCAGACTTGTGAATCCTCACCACAGAAAATTTAGTAGAGTTTTTCTATCATGAATGGAACGTTGTAAGGAATACGTGTGTAAGGAACCCTTGGTACGGAATCTCCATGGAAGCAAATCCTGGACATATATTCGTTACTGAGGAATGCTTGGTCAGGAATCTGTTCTAAGGAATACTTCGTAAGGAATTTCTACAATCTTTAATGGAGGGATCCGTTGAGCAGGGATCGTGACTAAGGATTCCTTAGTCCGGAATCTTCATTCAGGAGCTCTTAGTAAGGAACCAGTACCAAGGAATCTCCCGACGGGAGGGAACATTTATTGAGGAATCTGTAGTAAGGAGTTTTGCCCCAAGGGTATTTACCAATGAACCGTTAAAGAATAAGCTTCATGAAGGTATCGTTATTGTGGAATCCTTATTCAGGAACCATCATGTAGAAACCCTTGGTGCAAGGAGGAGTTTTCAGTAAAGACACATTATTAACTCATCGCTATTCCGGGATATGGATTAAGGGTTTTGCATTAAAGAATATGTATGAAGAAATGAGTATTAAGGATGATGGGTCAAGGAATCTGTACTAAGGAACATGTACGAGGGAATATGTATTCATGAGTCTACACTAAGGAGGCATCTTTGTTAAGGTGCCCTTACTAAGCAACCCCTAGTCCAGAACCCTTATTCAGGAACCTTTCATTGGGATGTGTTTGCCCACGAACCCATACGATGGAGTCCTTGTTAAGGGGTCCGTAGTCATGAATATGTATGATGGAAAATATGCTCAGGCATGCGTATGAAGGAATATGGATTTGCGAACCCTTACAACACAATAGTTTTCAGTAATGGATGTGTCTCAAGGACCCGTAGTCATCCTTACCAAGGGCTCGTCACTAAGGAATCCATTTTCAGGAACCTTTCTTACGGAATCTGTAGTGAGGCATATTCTATGAAGGAGGATGTATTAAGGACGCTGTGCGAAGGCATCTTTCGAACATAACCCTTTATTTGCGACCCCGCAGTAATGAGGTTGTATGAAGGAACCTTTTTTTTTACTAAGGCATTCTCAGTGAAGAAGACTCAATAAGAAAACTGCATTACTGCATCTTGATTCCGGAATCTTTATTCAGGCTTCTCTATTTAGCAAAACTGTACGCAGGAACATGTATTATTGGATTTCCCCCAAAGGATGTTTACGAAGGAGTTCTTATTAAGACACCCGACTAAGGCATATGTGTGAAGGAGTCCTTGGAGACGGCGGACGCCGCGCGCAGGCTCTGCGGACTTCCGCATTCCCAGCGAAGTTCCAATCGCTACGAGGATGCCAAAAATGCGTTCGGCGCCGAGGCTAGAACGTCCTTTTTGGGAAAAAAGTGCGCGATACCGAGGCGAAAATGCAACACATTGCTGAGGCGCGGGCCCCAGACCGCCACCCCATAATCTCCCGCCTTCCATTTTTAAGTCGTGGGCTGCCTTTCCTGAGACGCGTGAAATTCGTGCCGTCCGGTACACGCCTGCGCGCCAGATCGTTGCTTCGGGGTCCGTCGCCTCGAAGGCTGCAGCCAGGCCACACGGCGTTCTGCTGCACAGCAGGCGCCGAAGGCTCGTCGTTCAGTTGACGTGCGCAGATCCCCCGGTTATCGAACAGAGCCATGTCGGCCTCTTGGGCGTAGGGCGTGCTGCAACGTCGCGAGGCTCGCGTCGCCTGTTGCCGTGCACCTTCGTGCTAGCCGCGAGTTATCCGCACGACGGGCGTGGCGAGAGTCCGTGTGCCGAGCGCGATGTCATCCTCCTCCTCTTTCTCTTCCTCCTCCCCCTCCTCCTCACTTTCCTCCCCCCCTCCTTTTTCTCCTCGTCCTCCTCATCCTGCTCCGCATCCTCTTCCTCCTCTCCTCTTCCATTCCCCTCACCTCCTCCTCAGGCGCCTCCTCCTCTCTCGCCTCCTCCTGCTTGGTCCGCCGTGCCTGCTGTCACTTTTTCGGTCCGCCGACTCAGCTGTTAGTTACTCTTCGGTCCGCCGTCGGGGTCTGTTGGGATTTGGACTTGTTGCCATATGTTTGCTGTTTTGTCCATTTGCCCTGTTATCGTCTCCTCCTCCTCCTCCTCCTCCTCCTCCTCCTCCTCCTCCTCCTCCTCGTCCTCCCCCCTCCCCTCAGGGAAGGTCGGCGGCGTGGGGGTAATCTTCCTCCCGGTGGTCATTTTCCTCCTCCTCGTCCTCCTCGTCCTCCTTATCCTCCTCGTCCCCTCTTCCTCCTGGTGGTCATCTTCCCACGTGTGTTTGGGGGGTCTGTCTCAAGCTGTCGCTGTTGCATCAGATCCTCCTCTGCTCCGTTCCATCCCGAGCTCGGCGGCTACAAGAGGTTTGGTTCTGCAGGGGTGTGAATTGCAATCGGCCCCAGTGGGGCCCCTGAGACACAACAGTGTCCTCGTCGCGCCTCCCCGGGGTGCGGCGGAGAAATCTATCGAGGTACCCGCCCGCCCTGGGGGTGCCCCCCAGGTGCTGGTTGCAAACCTTACCATTTGCATACCACACCCTTCGGAGTCGCCGACAAGTGGCAGCTGAGTCATGCTGGGTAGTTCCCGCCCCACCTTCTGCAGCTCCTGCAGAGCAGTTCTCCATGCCATGCCAGACCTGAGCTTCGCTGCCTCCGCCAGGCGCCGAAGCCGAGACGGGGGGGTTAAGAACGCACATCCGAAATGGGGGCTTACAGTTGGAGACCCATGCCAAGAAACACCCTGCTTGCCTCCAGGGTGCCCTGGGAGTCTTGGGTCTCGATGGTTTTGATGTGGGAAGCGTGACGCTCCCACGCCAAAATCAATGGATGTCCTGGGGTCTCAGGTCTGGGTTTCTTGTGGAAGGTTTCTTGTGGACTGGCCTCCACTGCGTTCGGGCCCCAGGGGTGGGGTAATGCTGTCCACAGCCACCGCCCACCGACATACCCGACGCTCGACCCCCCCGCTTCGCAGCACAGAGGGGGGGGGAGAAGAAGGCCGAGAGGCAGAAGGTTTGGGAGGAGGAGGAGGAGGAGGAGGAGGAGGAGGAGGAGAAGGAGGATGAGGACGAGGAGGAGGAAGAGGAGGAGGAGGAGGAGGAGGAGCAGGGGAAGCTCGAGGAGGAGGAGGAGGAGGAGGAGGAGAGGAGGAGGAGGAGGGAGGAGGAGGAGGAGGAGGAGGAGGAGGAGGGATGAGGAGGAGCAGGAGGAGGAGGAGAGGAGGAGGAGGAGGAGGAGGAGGAGGAGGATGATGATGATGATGATGATGATGAGATGATGATGAGAGGAGGAGAGGAGGATGAGGAGGAGGAGGAGGAGGAGGAGGAGGAGGAGGAGGAGGAGGAGGAGGGAGGAGAGAGGAGGGAGGAGGGAGGAGGGAGGAGGGAGAGGGAGGAGGGGGAGGGGACGGAGAGGAGGAGGAGGAGGAGGAGGAGGAGGAGGAGGAGGAGGAGGAGGAGGAGGAGGAGGAGGAGGAGGAGGGGAGGAGGAGGAGGAGGAGGAGGAGGGGAGAGGAGGGAGGAGGAGGAGGAGGGAGGGAGGAGGAGAAGGGAGGAGGAGGAGGAGGAGGAGGGAGGAGGAGGAGGTGGAGGAGGAGGAGGAGGATGTGGAGGTGGAAGAGGAGGAGGAGGAGGAGGGCGGAGGAGGAGGAGGGCGGAGGAGGAGGAGGAGGTCGGAGGAGGAGGAGGTCGGAGGAGGAGGATGAGGAGGAGGAGGAAGAGGGAGGGCACGCGGGTGGGACGGCTGAAGAGGTGCACGCGCAAAGGGGCGCCTCCAGCGCGCCAGGGGAAGGTGCACCCGAGGCTCCGAGGCATCAAACGTCGGCGGGTTGGCCGCCGCCTCGGCGGCCAGAGGAACCATCTGCCCCGTGGTCGAAGCATCCGGCTTCGGCGGTCGTGGAGCCGTGGGCAGGATCATCGCGGCAGGGTTCGTACCGATTGTTCCGATTCGATTCGTTTCGTGGTCGATGGTTTCCGATTCCGATTCGAATCGATTTCGGGTTCCTGTGTGGGCTCCGATTTCTGACTGGAGGCCTGCTAGCCCGCCGATGTCCGCCGAGTCGACTTTTCTCGACTCGGCTGCCGATCCGTCGACCCTGTTCATGTCGATCACCGATCCGGCCTGTCGATTCAATTCTGGGCTCTCCTGTCGCGGGAGGAATCGACACAAGACACCGATACCGTACCCAGAGATCCCACGCCTGGACACATCCTGGCGAAGAGCCAGACCATGCGCAGGTTTGAGTGCTGCGAGACAGGTTGAGGCGAAGGAAGGTGGACACCCCTTTATGAGGCCACAAACTATGTGAGGGACGTGCCGAAATAGACATGCGGTGGGCGGGAAGCCGCATACGAACCTTGGCGCTAGGGCCTTTGGTCGAACTCTCAGTGGGGCCACGAAACGTGTGAGGATGTGCCAAATGGGCAGCGGGGGCGTATGCGAACGGCTCCACAGGGGCCTTCGGTGGAACTCCCTGTGAGAGGCCACGAAACGTGTGAGGGTGTGCCGAGTCGGGTGGCGGGACGGATGCGGGCGGTGGCACTCGGGCCTTCAGTGAAGCTCCTTTCTGGAGCCACGCAGCGTGTGAGGGTGTGCCGAAATATGTGGCGGGGACGCATGCGGGCTGCCGACTGGGACCTTTCGGTGGAGCTCCTTATGGGGCCACGGAGCGTGTGAGGGTGTGTCGAGATGGGTGGCGGGACCACACGCGAAGTGCGCCACGGAGACCTTCCATGGAGTTCCCTATGGGGCCACGAAACGTGCGAAGTGTGTGTGTGTGTGTGGTGTGTGTGTGTGCGCGCCGAAATTGGTGGCGGGACCGCATGCGAACTGTGCCATTGGGACCTTCTGTGGAGCTCCTCATGGGGCCACGAAGCATGTGAGGGTATGCCGACATGGGGGGTGGCGGGACCGCATGCGATCTGCACCACCGAGATCTTCAGTGGAGCTCCTTTTGGAGCCACATAGCGTGTGAGGGTGTGGCGAAATGGACAGCGGGGACGCATGCGAACGGCGCCGTTGGGGACCTTCTGTGGAGCTCCCCTTGGGGCTCACGAAGCGTATGAGGGTGTGCCGAAATGTGTGGCGTGACCGCATGCGCATCGCGCCATGGGGACCTTCAGTGGATTTCTTTCATGGGGCCACGAAAGGTTTGAGGGGTGTGCCGAAATTGGTGGCGAGACCGTATGCAAACTGCGCCACTGGGACCTACCGTGGGGCTCTTGATGAGGCCACGAAGCCTGTGAGGGTGTGCCGGCATGGATTGGTGGGACCGCGTGCAAACTTCACCACTGAGATCTTCTGTGCAGCTCCCGGTGGAGCCTCGAAGCGTGTGAGGGTGTGCCCGAACGGGTGGCGGGACCTCATGCGAATTGCGTTACTGGGACTTTCTGTGGATTTCTCTGATGCGGCCGCGAAACGTGGGAAGGGTGTGCCGAAATGGGCGGCGTGTCCGCATGCGAACTGCGCCAATGGGTCCTTCGGTGGAGCTCTCTGTGGGGCTACAGAATGTGTGAGGAGTGTGCGCAAGGTGATGGCGATGACGGTGATGATGACGGCGATGGTAATGATGATGATGATGATGATGATGATGATGATGATGATGATGAAAATACTGATGATGAACATAATGATGATGCTGATGATGATGATGATGACGATGATGACGATGATGATGATGATGATGATGATGATGATGATGATGATGATGATGATGGTGGTGATGATGATGATGACTGCCGGTGATGGTGATGGTGATGTTTGTAATGGTGATGCTGACGATGACGATGATGGTGATGATGAGGTTGATGATGGTGAGGATGATGAGGATGATGACGATTATGATCATGATGATAATGATGTTGATGATGGTTATGATGATTATGATGATGATGATGATGATGATGATGATGATGATGATGATGATGGTGATGATGATGCTGATGATCATGCTCATGATCCTGATCATGATTGGATGCATATCGGATGATCTTTGGATGAGGAGGAGCAGGAGGAGGAGCAGGAGGAGGAGGAGGAGGAAGGAGGAAGAGTAGGAGGAGAGAGGAGAAGGAGGAGGCGGAGGAGGAAGAGGAGGAGGAGGAGGAGGGAGGCGGAGGAGGAGGAGTAAGAGGAGGAACGCGGGGCGCTGTCTTATCAAAACGAAGACCCAACACCACAGGATGGCTGGAACAGAAACCAAACGACGGCGTCTCGTCCTGCACGGCCTCTGGGGGCCCTGGCAGGGCCCTGGGACCTTCAAAACGACGCAGGACCAAAATCCAGTCAATTGTTTTTGTCTGTTCTTGTTTTGTTTGTGTTTTTCTCCAGGGGCCTCGAGACCTCCAGGGGCAGGGGGACGGGTCGAGACCTCCAGGGGCCCCGTCCTGCACAGCTCAAGAGACATATCGGACGTCTGGGTGCCCTTCCCTCGTCGCTGCGTCTGGATCAGCAAGCCCCTGGAGAGCTCGAGGGCTGGCCACGTGCAGAAGGGGGTAGGGGGAGGGGGGAATGCTTCTTAGAAGCACCCCTGCTTCTGAGAAGGCGCGGGCCTTCTTTGTAGATGCAAGGCCGGCGCCGTCTAAGAAGCAGCCTGCTTGTAAGAAGCCTTCCCCCTCTCCCCCTACCCCCTTTTGCGCGCCGCCAAGAGGGAGCAGCCCCAGGTTCTGGCTTCTCGATCCCATCCCTGCAGCGAAGCTCTCGGCTGCGCGGGCCCTGGGGCCCCCCTCGTGGGGCGGCCCGGTCTCGGCGAGCCTGCCCAGCGGGCCAGGGCCGGGCGGGGCCAGGGCCAGGATCTGTCGTTCCAGAGCGTCCTGGAGCGCACAGGAACGGCCGCAGCGCCCGATCTCCTCCTCCCTCCTCCTCCTCTTCCTCCTCCTCCTCCTCCTCCTCCTCCTCCTCCTCCTCCTCCTCCATCTCCTCCTCCTCCCGCCTCCTCCTCCTCCTGCTCCTCCTCCTCCTCCTCCTCCTTCTCTTCCTTCTCCTGGGGGGAAGCGAAAAGGAGATGTTTTTTCCAGAACCGCCAGATCTGGCCTCGTCTTTCGAGGCTTCCCACACGGGGTCGGGGCAGACGGGGTCGGAGGCCTCCCAGATGGGGTCGGCGATGCATCGGCGATGCGGCTCGATGCGGGCCCAATGTTATTGACGCCGACGTCGCGGATGTATCGCCGACGTCGCCAGTGCATGGCCGATGCATCGGCGATGCATCGCCGATGTATCGGCGATGCGGCGAGATCCTCCGACCCCATTTACTCGGACCCCATCTAGGAGGCCTCCAAGCTCCTTGACAGAGCGTTCTGGAGCGCTTCGGAACGGCCGCGGCGCCCGATATGTGCTTCCAGAACCGCCAGGTTTGGCTGCGTCTTGCCGTGCCTCCGAGCTCCTTGACGCCAGCTCCGCGGGGGCCTGCGCGCGGTGGTGCCGAGAGCTCCTGGCGCCCAGGCCCAGGCTCGGCAGTCGCCGCCCGCCGAGGTGCTCGCGTGGCTTGGCGGCGGGGCCCGCGCCAGGAAGTCCGGACCATCTTGGAGCAGCTTGGATCACCTCGAGGAGGAGCGAGCGCGAAGCCGAGCAACGCACGGAGGGTGGACGTCTGAGCGATGTCAAGGTCAGGGGCACTGGGGAGAGTGCGGCCGAAGCAGCTCGC